CTTTTGCTACACAACATCTACCTTTACATTTCGAACCCTCACAGTCATTCCTGATAACAATTTTTCACTATTGTACCACAAGGGATCTATCCACATCTCCTTTCATCAGCCCCTCCCAGGCTGATTGGATACTACTCAGTGGAGAGTCTACCTTCCTCAGCATCCTCTGGATCTAGGTTCCCTCTTGAAAGCTTGTAAATCAGTCACTTCTTGCCTTTGTAGGCCTCCCACCACGCTCCCATTTTGGGTAGCCAATGTTCATCAACGTCCTTTTTAAATCTGGGTTTAATTTCTGGCATCTCACTTCCTTAATAGTTTTACACCTGAAATGCTTTTTGAGTTATCTTTACCAATTTTCACTGAGTCAAATAAATATTGTTATATCAACCTCCATATTATGTTGGGCACCTTTCCTGTGGAATGGCCCAAGTATGGAATCTTTTGCAGTCTTTTTGACCATGTAACGCTCTCCAAATTACTTTTCATAGACGATAGTACTCCCAGCACTGCTTCATTTTGTTTAGACCTTTCAATTGCTATTCCATCATTTCCTGGAGCCCTGTATTTCGCTAATGCCTTCAGTGTACTTGTATTTCTTACAATAAGATAGTTGTGAATCATACATTACATCTTGAAATTACTTGATGTTGACCAATTATTTCAGGAAGAGTGACTGAATTCTTTCCAACTTCTATTCATGTTTTTCTTGTTTTGTTGAATATTTTGCCATTCTTGTTAGATAATGTGCAGTCTCTTCTAACTCAAAGCAAGCCTATGCACAACTGAATGAATGCCAGATAGGATGCTATCTTCACAATTGTTAGTTCAATTCCTTGGGGACTGCCACCTTGTCAATCCATCTTCCTCTTGACTTTAGCAAGCATGATTTCTTTCTCCAGGAACTGGTTCCTCCTGACAATATGTTGGAAGTATGATACATGAAGTCTTGTAAGCCTTGCTTTTAAGTAACATTCTAGATGTTCTTCCGACACTGATCTGTTGGTCCTTTTGCCATTCCATAGTGCATTCAGAATTCTTCCCCAACAACAAAATTCAAATATATTGTCTCCTCTGCAATCTTCTTTGTTTATTGTCCAACTTTCACATGTGACTGAAAATACAATGGCTTGTTTCAGGTGCACATTAGTCCTCAAACAGACATTTTTGTATGTTCATAAATCAAAGGTGTCTTTTTTTTTCTTCAGGCTTATAATATTCATTTCCATCACACATATATGTCTATTTTACATTAGTACACAGAAGGAACCAATATCCACAAAGCAGTCAAACACACAAAACATTTTTCCCCGCCTTACCCTGTCATCCTATATCTCAATTCATTTATGTACACACAGAACTCTGTTTTTCCACGGTTATGTATATATCCCCTTTAGCCCATGCATACCTCCCGGTATCTTCACCAGTCTTCATTATTCATCTTAGTCCTCGATCATCTTCATCTTCCCTCTTCTTGTATACTACCCTCCCCCTTCTGTTATTGTCTTTGATCACGCTGACATGTGTCTACCTTATAGAGATCATTTTGAAGCAGATTTGCCTAATACAATACAACATTTGAATTCTTGACAACTGCTGATTGACTACCTTTTGGTCTCTACAGATTTCACTTAAGCACAATCAAGTGTTCTGGAATACCCATTTGTTGCAAGGTAATGTACAGTTTATGAGGTTCTACACAGCCAAACCATCACTCCTCTGTCAGTTTGTCTTACTGTGGTGGCTTGTGAGTTGCTATGATTCTGGAAGCTATACCACTGTTATTTTAAATACCAGCAGGGTCACCCATGGTGGACAAGTTTCAGATGAGATTCCAGATGAAGATAAGACTACGAAGAAGGAATGACAAACTACTTCCAAATATTGAGTCATTGAAAAACTTATGAATAGCAGAGAAACACTGTCAGATATACTGCCAGAAAATGAGCCCCTCAGGTTGGAAGGCCTTCTAAATGTGACTGGGGAAGAGTTGCCTCCTCAAAGTAGAGTTGACCATGATGACACATAAGGAGTAAAGCCCACAGGACCTTCATTTTCTGATGGGGCTCAACTGAAAATGAAGAGAAACACCTATAAACATCCATTGAAAATTGGAACATGGAATGTATGAAGTATGAATCTGCAAAAGTTGGAAGTTGTCAAAAATGAAATG